GTGTGTGTGTGTGTGTGTGTGTGTGTGTGTGTGTGTGTGTGTGTGTGGGTAAAAGTGTATGTGAAACTTACTCGCATCCAAGGATGATTTAAAACCTCTTCTATTGTTAACCTATTGTGCAAATTTGGCGCAAGCATTTTTAATATTAAATCTTTGGCATTGGATGATATTGATTTCCATTCAGGCGCTTCCAGCTGAAAAGAGAGAATCAATTTAAAACATTCATTGAAATGATTCTCGATGTTTGGGAAAATGTTCATGTTTCTATCCATAAGCATCGTAAATGCATTCATATGTGTTTGTTTTTTTTTTGCATGAACATTATAGCATGGCAATATGAATTTGGAATCAGTTACGTTTAAAAAGAGAGAGAAAAAAGACCGCTCTAATCAAATTAAAATGACAGCAAGAGAATAGAAGAAGACACACGAAAAAAAAATGGCGAAAACACCATTGAAAGCGGCTTCTGTATGTAAAATGAAAACGTTACCGCAATGCGACCACCACTGATGACCTCTCGTAAGCGTCTACCCGAGCCCAAAAATGGTAATCGCCCCGACAACAGTACGTGTAATAAGACCCCAGCGCCCCATATGTCACATCCTTTTCCATAATATCCTCTGGATATAACTTCGGGTGATTGGTATTGCGGGCAGCCAATGCGACCTTTTAAAATCCGATGAAATGAGTGTTGATCAGTTTGGTTTTGTTTTGTTTTTTTTTTTTTTTTTGCTTTCACAATTCAAATGGAATTGTTTATAGTTCAAAATGCAGTGTATGTGCGCGAGTTCTATATTTACCGTGTGTTTCAACGCCTTCGCGTCCATTTGGAAGTTGAATAGCAACACCGAAACCGCCCAGTTTAACTGGTGCCGAATTATCAATGGTTGCTAGTAAGCAGCATGCGGGCCGTACGTCTCGATGCAGAATGTCATTTTCATGGCAATACCGAAGGGCCTCCAGTATTTGACGCATATAATGGCTGTGAAATATGGAAGAAAAAACAACAAAAATGCAATTATTAAAAGCAAATTTAAAATTCAAATCGAAATTAGAACAACGTAAATGTTTAATGACCGGCTTGGCATAAAAAAGTTATCGTTCGACAAACAAACAAACCGAAAGGAAAAAAATTAATTGAACATGGTCATAACGCAATGCGACTATTAATTTCGTTGAAAAGATGTATTTTATAATGAGTTTGATGTAATAATCTCTTTATATACTTCATAGAGATGGATACATTTTCGGTGGTCGCAATTTGCAATATATGTACATTAATGTGCGTTTTTTCGTTAATTTTTCATTTCAATTATTCTAAAATTGTAGTAACAACAATTTTTGGGATGTTTACCATGCAACCGCTTCACTATAAATGAATCCAGCAACGGCTCTTCTGACCACTTCAAAGCAAATGTCGGATCCCTCCATACTGTAATCATACAAATTTAATAATAAAATAGAATATTCAATCGTGTAATAGAAGAAATTGAGTTGATGTGTGTTTGAAGGGCGCAATCACAAATCAACTCTAAAATTAATTCATCGTTTTAGATGGCGGAACAATATCAAATTACGAACACACACAAGTACATAAAGAGAAATCGAGAGAATTGCATTATGTGAATGAGTGTGAGCGTGGCAAAGAGAGGGACGAGAGACAGAGTGTGTAAACGTAAAAGGTTATGACATTATCAAAAATGTAAATATACTCACTATTCGAAAACCATATATAACATTCCTTCGGAACTGTACGTTTCCAGAAGCTCGACAATGTGTGGATGCTTGAGCATATGACATATCGTTGCTTCCCGTTTCAAATCTATATAAAATTTCGGTTTAATGAATCGAATCAGATTTAGAAGAGAAAAACCACAGACAAATAAAAACCAAAACCAAAATCTAAATCCATTCCTATTCGAATTGAATAGACGAATGAATTGAAACAACAACAAATTTGATAACCAACCAGATGTGCTCAGTCCGGGACTTGCGGTAAATTTGGCAACGTCTACGATTTTCACTGCAAATTGCATTTTTGATTCTCGATGTATGCATCTTCGAACAATTGAAAATGGTCCTCTGCGAGAGAAAATGAAATTGAAAATATGAAATGCGTTTTTTATGTTTGTCAATTTTGCAATAGGGAAATTTGATACACTATTCTATCGCTTTGATTTGTAACGAAACAAAAAAAAAAGATTTGTTACATTCCAATTTGTGAAATATGAGAACGGTAAACATTCGACACGCAAAACCGAATAGCAACAACAATAACAACTAAATTACACCGTAAACCGTATCGATACTCACTTGCCAATCACTTCGTACAGTTCGTAAACATCATCGAAAAGAATGTCGTCGTCAGCCATGGTTTAGGAAGAAATGATTTTTGTGTTTTTGATTTTTGTGCTGCTGTGTGTGAATTTTTTGTTTTGTTTAACAAAAAAGGGGTTGATTTTTTTTTCTATCCTGCGTTTGTTTTTCACTTTTGCGCTACGGAGTGCAGCGCGACTGAAATATCTCTCTGCGTGCGTGTGTGTGATTGTGAATGCGTGTTGATTTTGGGATGATTCGTGTTCCAGGTTTGGTTGATGTGTCTATTGCCTCTTCTTGCGGTTGCTCACAAATCGTCGTCCGGATCGTCAAAAACACCGATTTCCGTTCATTGATGCTCTAATTTCAAGCGAATGATGCGACTGACAGAGCGAAGTAAAGAAAAGTAACCAAATTAAAAGTCGTCGTCAGCATCAGCATCATTACTAAATGAATTTTCCCGCATCGTGGACTCGAGAGAAAGAGTGGAAGGGAGAATGAGAGAGAGAGAGAGAGAGAGAGAGAGAAAGAGTGAGAAAGACGATTCGCTGAGTGTCTGATTAATATGTCAAGTAGAATGAAAAATGTTGACGATTTTCCACTTGAAAATTGAATGGAAAGATTCTTCTTTAAGAGCACATAATAAGGTTATATCGATCAAAGCCAATTAAGGCCGTTCTTCAACGATTGACGTCTTTTTTTTTCTTCTCTCGCCTCTTTCATTTTATCACTCCACGGGCTTGACGTTTTTCGGGGAAAATCCACAAAATGATGCAACGAAAAATAAATGACTCTCTTGCTCAAATCTCGATATTTTTCACTTTTGCTCAACATTTTGTTGTCATATTCGAATTATGATTTTTCAAATGGAATCGCACTATCAAAACAAACTTTTTCACAGTCAATCATCCGAGTGCAAAGTTAATGTGTGTACCGTTTAATCCTTTCCTGATAATGGAAAATGCACTTATCATATTTTGCTCTCTCGCTCTATCTATGTTTTTTTGTTTGTTATTCGATGCGCTTGAAAATGCAATTTATTTTATTATTTAGTCGCATCCGGTCAAGAACATATTTCTGCTTGTTTGCTTCTCAATTTTTTTTCTTCTTCCTTCTGTTTGTTCTTTTATTATTGAAAATGAAATTATCGGCTCGCGATCTATTTACTTTCGTTACTCACTAATAAACATTTCGAATTTTTGTTTTATAGTTTTTGTTTGGAATTCACACGATTTCATTGCGAATCGAAAGAAGATAAGCAGAAGCTGAACGAAAGAAGTAAAAAAATAATAATAAAAAGGTGGGGCAAACTAATGTCCTCTTAGGCTACACACAGAGTGTGTAATGTGAGTGAGAGATGAATTTCCCGGTTAACAAGTATGGAAAAACATGGCCGACACTTTTCACAAACAATTGCAGAAATGTGTGTACGATGAAATCCATTGCATTTAGGAAAATGACTCTCGGTCTCTCGTCGTCGGATGGAAAAACGGCACTTTTGCACACAACACACTCACAGCCACATACAAACACATACACTAACCAATGCAGCAGCAGAAGCAGCAGCAGATTCGCAACACAACATTCGCTGAAGACCGAGAGAGACAGACTTTTTTTCGATTTGTTATTACTATTACAACAAGGGTGTTTTTACTATGAATGGATATTTTGTCGAAATTTCAGGATACACACTGAGTTGATTAGATATTTGGATGTTTACATGGAAAATTCACTCAACATTTTGATTTCACTGCCCTCGCATTTAGCTCGGTTTATCAATATTTATTATTACTTCGACTACTATAAATTTATTGATTTAACTTGTATTCCAGCGATTCCACCAATGATGCACTTAAAATTACCGATCATTATTTTTAATTTTTAATTTTTTCCTCTTTGGCTTAGCTCAATTAAAATTTGCCTCTTATTTTTGTTTTCCCTTTTAAATTTGAAACATACATACACAAATTTCAATGGCATTGAGCAGCAATGAGCGAGAGAAAAAAAATACACAACATTGAAAATGAGTTTGACAACTGTGCAGAGAATCTACTATAGCTACAGCTCAAGAGACAGAAGAAAACAATGTTCTCTTGACATATCTAATGAATGAGAGATAAATAAGTGTTCAAGTCAACAACAGAAGAGAAAAAAAGCGCCCAATGGATGGGCAACGAGTGAGTGTGAGTGTGTGTGTGGAAAATTATTGCACATGCCTATACCTTTTTGTCGAATTTTTTTTTCGTATGTTGAATCACGTGACAGATGTGAAATATATGTATTGCATTTGAGAGGTTCAGTGTCATTTAGTAGTCAAAAACAAATGATGAGATTTGATTTTATTTCGGAAACACCGTGAGCCCAGCAGTCGGTGTATATGTGATAGCACAATTGTTTCTTTTGTTTTACTTCGTTTCAGTTTTGTCGTCGCAGAAGCTGGGCTACATGCATTTTCTTATAAACTTTTTGAGTATTGACCAAGAGCGTAGCAAAAAACAAGATGAACAACAAACAATTTTCCAGGAAAATTCACACAGACACACATTTGAGTGCCTCGCGTCTTTATCGAGGTATCAAACTGGAAGAATTTTGCACAAAAGTCAATAAACGATTAGACGTACTTAACTGAAGCTTTTTGTTGTCATTAACACCGAATATTTTTTTTCGATTTTTTTCTAACAATTCAAATGTGTGTTTCTGTCACAATGGAATTGTATTATTTTTTTCTGATTTAAACAATTCCATTGATAATCGTTTTGAACGAAGAAAAAAAGGAGATTGATTTTAACATTCAATGTCGAAATTCCAGCTGAAATACTCAATTGGAGTTGTGAATACTTGAGTCAATGATGAGTTAAGTACAAGTCAAAAAGCCAGTCAGAGACTTAACCATTTGTCAAACTGTCACTTTTGCGCGGTTTACAAATCGAACGAGCGAACAGTGTTTGACGGCATGTCATTTGTGAACTGTTTGAAATAAATGTACATCTAAAACTAGAGTTACTGGAACATTTCCGAGGGAAAAACCAGTTGTGAGTCGAAGTTTTATTCGAAATTCGTTTGAATTACTTGTCGAATCGGGATTAAACGAGTATTTATCATTGGAAAATTATTCCAAATGTGTTCAATGCAATTTCACTATTTTGTTTATTTGTCCGCTTTTGTAGGTTATGTGTTAGCTGCACAATCGATTTAACAATCAAAATGAATTTGAACCAGTCGATGGATTTCCAGAAATTTAACCGGCGCGATGTCTCGTCAGCCACTCAACACACTTCGTTTGTTATGAATGGTACATTTGATGCATTTGGTCAAGATAAATTCTTTGATAAACCTTTGTCACAAAATTCAACACTGATCGAAAGTTCGGGCTACGCAAAACTGGATCCGACCATTGTCAAACAAAAGACCGATCGTTTGCATGAGTTTTTCTTGGAAATTGCCCAAGGCCGGACAAATGAAGCCGAAATGTTTGACACCGTTCATAATATGATCCAGGCATGCAGTGAAATTTTCGATGATATCATACGAAATGGCGGTTTGACCAGTGATCGACAGTTGTTTGAATGGTTAAATCAAGAGCGAAATACCTGGAAGCTGCTGTATTGTTTATACAAGGATCGGCTGTTGAATCAACAAGCAATGGAAGATGTCAACGATGACGATTTCTGTGTGTACGCCAGCGAAAAGGAAATTATCGAGAAATTGTACAAGGAAAATGGCAATTTACGTGAATATCAGCTGATTGTTGACTGGCTAGAGCAGTGCGAAACGCAACGTCACTTTGATAAATTCGGACATTTCATGGATGAAACGGTTTCATGGGAAAATACATTGCATCAACTGCAGAATATCGATCGGACAGTGTTCAGTGGAAAGAAGAATATCGTCAAGAGTTTGGATCCAGATGCACCACATCGCGAGAAACTGCCATTGCATGATTTGGACGCTGAAGACGAAGAACGCATTTCAAAAGAGGTGAGTTATTGCAGTTCAGAAAATGAAGAACGAAACAAACAAGAAAAACAAACGTTTCGGTGGAAATTTCGACGCATTGATTACAATCAACTTATTTATTTATTTCGCCGCATTGAAATCGCAATTTTATCGCGACATTCATTTCCAATTTGATTCATTTCAGATTCTGTACGAAATTCGACAAGGACACTTAGATGTAGCCGGCAGTCTGTGTGAACGTGTTGGTCAATGGTGGCGCGCAGCAATTTTGGAAGGCTGGCGATTGCATCATGACCCAAATTACAAAGTAGAAAATACATCATTGGAAAAGGTTTTGGTTTTTTTTCATTCAATTTCGATTTTCCAACATTTCTTCCACTCATAGTTCCAACTTCCAAACAAAATTTCATTCGAAAACAGTTCAATATTACAAAGCATATCTTTCGATTCGATGTTTTTCCTTATTTTTTCCGCTTTTTCTCTTACACCCAAAAACCATTTTGATTTCACTGTCTCGAATTGATTTTTTCCACTCAAAATGTTTAACTATATTCAATCTTTTTCCATTTTTCATTCATTTGCAGTACCCAATTGAAGGAAATCCACGTCGTGACCTATGGAAAAAGTTGGCATGGCAAATGGCTGAAAATAATCGTATAAATGAGTACACGCGTGCATATCTGGGTGTATTTTGTGGTCATTTGGATGCATTGAAGGCGATAATGAATACATCATGGTTTGATCTGCTATGGGCATATTTGAAAGTGCAAATTGATATTCGTGTTGAGGCTGAATTGCGTCAGACCAGCCCAAAGAGTTACATTGAAATGCCGAAAAAATACTGGAACAACAAAATGACCATCGAAGAGATATTCAATGAGCTGAGCACACGTGAGAATATCCGTGATGTTGCCGAAGACAAAATGACAATCATTCGAAAGTATTTAATTTTGGACGATGTGCCAGAGCTCATGCGTAATATCAACTGTTGGTTGGATGACTTGAAAAACGATGGTCAAATGCTGCGATTTATAGCGCACATTGTGTTGTTCATGCGACAAATCGATCGACAACACGAACAGCAAGGTGATATTGGAAATAAAGTCATCAAAACATACGTTGAATATCTCATGAAAGAGTCAAACGAACCGGCTCTCGTCGCATTTTACACATCAGCCGTGCCGCCAGATATGCAAATCGATTTGTACGCCCGATTCTTAGAGCAAATTGAACAGATTGATGACCGTAAACTTGCACTCGAAGAGGCGTACAGTAATCGTTTGGACATACACAAAATCGTCAGTCACATGGTACAAAATGTGTGCTTGGCTCAAACATCTGATTCGGCCAAGCAGCTCACCGGCACCGTTTCAACGCTGGATGAGAAGAAAATTTCAGCACTCGAATGGTTGACCTTCCACGCCGACCAATTCAGTGAATTGCTATGGTTTGCAAACGCACTCATCCGCAATTTCTTGGGCGAGAACAAAATCGAAAGCATTCGAAAGATTTTCAAGGTCATTCCGCAAAATGTTGTTCAACGAGTTCAAGAGAACTATGGGTCAAAGGATTACATTCCAGCCAAAGTTGAGTGCAGTATATTCGAGTATGCATGCTATTTGTTGTACGTCGACGCACTCGATTCATACAATGATTGGCTGCGACAATATCACAGTAAATCAAAAGAGCCCGAAACACTGAATCCAAACGCACCATTCACCGAACGGATGGCCAACGAACACAAGAAACAAGCATATTTAAATGAAATTGAATGCTGGAGAATCAATCTTTTGGAACGCACAGCAGGTGAGTTTGATGAATTGATTTCAACCGTTTGAAAACTATTGAATGCTCTACAAAAAGAGAAAAAAATGAGATCAACTCGTTTCTAATTCCGATTCTCTTTTTTGTTTCAGCCACACAATCATCGATAAAGAAAGCACTATTTCCGTCGGAGAAAGGATTCCTCATCGATCCAGACACAATAAATCCCATTTTAGACGAGGACAAAGTTCCGCTCAAAAATCGCTTCGAGCAATTGGAAGGAATTCGTAAGCTGTGTATACCACAATTGGTTCTGTTGCTACACAATATCCTGCATTCATCGGGCGACTACAAGAGTGCCATTCAAATTGTTGATGATTTGGTGTCGGAGAATTGCCAATTGTACACCGTATACTCAAAACATCAACTGACTGAAATTATTGGGAAAATTGCCGAATCAACACTGGCCGCTCTCAACTCCAAATTGGATCCGTGGGGATACAACACAGCACTTTGAAATCCGGATTTATAGAGATTTAGAAATTCGTGTGTGATTCAATTCAATCGTTGTCAATTATGTATTCTCATTTGCATTCGCTGTTAAGTGTCCGAGAAACAAAACAAAAATAATACCCAAGACCATTTGATAAATAAAAACCAATCGATTTTTCATTCGTATGACCTGTTATTTTATTTCAAAATCGGCTTTTTGGTATTAAAAAGATGTCTCGTTGTGTTTTTTGCATTTTTACACTATTTTGCTCTACACCAAACTCAACTAGAAATCGTGTCTCGCCCTTAGAGTTTAATAGCACCAAGACTTGACCGGCACACAAAGCGACGAATTAGAAAATGACCGATTACCGGAGACAGACAAACAGGAAGGCAGACAGAAAAGCATTCAATAAATAATTATCAGTCTCGAATCGAGACTCTCGATGAAAAAGACAAGATTAAAGTACAAGGACATTAGCAATATCATCACTTTCTTGTTAACATTGACAGACTCATACCATTTTTTTTTAATGAGAATTTCCATTTCAAGCCTAGGTTAAAGCCTCTCTTCTAAATATGGAATAGTAATTATGCCTTCATCTGAACTAATGTGTCTACCAAAATGAAATATAATGCTTTAGAGCGACCAAGTTCAAGTTAGTTGGAATGCATCTTTGGAGATATACACATCGATTTACGACGATTCACGCACGCATTTTGAATAAAATTAGAAATTCAGTTCGATTAATTCAGGGTTACCATGAGAATAAGTGTTATTCCAACAGTTCTGTTTACATACCTGTGTTCAAAGTTTCAACCATCAGTACAATCTCTAAGTGTAGCTTACGATGAAGCCTACTTGCGTGAAGCTGAAAAATGGACATCACTCAGTTACAAAAATTTCCAAAGTTCAAATCAAACACTGTTCTTTTGTCCCTCATTGATTAAACCCACGGAAGAAGGATTAAGAAAATCGATAGAAGCTCTAATAGACAGACCAATAGAAATGCCGAAGGATTGGGTACGCTTGTGGCGGGATAGAGATTGTAAATCTTTTTATGAATGTGATTTGAAGAAAAAGGCCGATCTGAATCGCTTATATGATATATTCCATTCATTTATTCGAGATTGCGAATGCGAACGAACATTTCAAGAAGAGATGCGAGGATTAAAATTCGATCATAATTTTCAGAAGATATCATATGGTGGAGGATGGCTACCGTTCAGTTTCTCTATAATCGCGAAAAAATGTTACTCGATAGATTACCCGATCATCAAATGTAAAAAATACCAATTCTTCTTTGAGCCGAAAAGACTTTTTTTTGAATTTCCAATCGGACGCGGAACGAAGGGCATTCGATGTGTGGAATACGAATTGGATACAACCAAGCCGAAAATATATCAATTATTTGACTCACCATTTTATTTTAATGAACTTGATTGGAGTGAATTGAGAGAAATTGAAAAAATACGAATGAAACTAATCATTCAATCGTTATATCATAACACTACAAATATAGACGCAGACAAACAGAACAATGATAAAATCAATATTCCCCACGAAGAACTTCCTTCCAATTGATTTGTTTATGTATTGTATTCTTTGATTTAATCCAGATGATAACAATGAAAATAACGAAATAACAATATTTACTAATGTTCTTCTATTTGTATTATGATCTAAATAAAATAAATTCAAAACAAAAAATAATTATAAGTTCATTTCATTTTCCACTGCTACTGATCTCACTGTTGATATTCTTGAATCTTCGAGGAAACGAGATGATCGATTCATTTTCCATTTGAATAGTCGTGCTGTTACATTTGTTTATATTTCATTGATGACAGATTGACCAATTGATAATGAGACGATATGTGAATGATGACAATTCAATTCGTTCAACTGTGTCACTGAGATTAGAAATGGGAATACGAATCTTGCCACCTGCTCTCGTTTGTTAAAACTGTTGAAATTTTCATAAGCAGAAGCAGGAGTTGAGACGCTATTCTATTCAAATTCTAGCTTAAGGTTTAATCCTAGATAATTTGATAGAATCTACTCGATTCAGAGCAAACGATAGAATCCTTTTTGGTAACAGTTGTGATGGTAGGAGTCTGGGGTCATGAATCTGGGGAACGGAAGCTAAAAAATAAAACTACATGCATGACTTTTGTAGAGGCAACAGTTCAAGAAATAAAGGCATAACAACAGAAGTTTTCTTTCTTTTCTTTTTTTCTTTTTCTTTTAAATTTCTTTCATTTCTTTTTTAAATTAGAAAAAAAGGTATTCTCTACATGACTTTAAAATCTGCATTATTTCCATAAGTACTGGCTAATACTGAGAAGAACGGTACGAATAAACAGTTTTCAAATTTTAAAACAGGAGAATGATTGAGAGAATAACAAAATCGTTTTGTCTGAAAAAATCAATTTAGGATGAGGGAATGGTCCATCTCACTGGTCAGTTGGGCCATTTAATCATCAACATTTAACCAAAAGATATTGAAGAAGTAAATAAATTAAAATGCTCTTTTATTCTCATGGCTAATCTTCCTCCGAACGATCAAAAAATTATCACTACCACTCAACAAAATCGGAAAAATATTTTCAAATCGCACCAAAGCATATGAAGGTCAAAGCCAACGATGTTTCCTTGAATTAGAACTAAAGCATTAGAGTTTGTACTTTCCTCTTGGACGAACTACAATCGGGTGTAGAATTTATTAATGTCGGTTTTCGAATAGATGATAGGCGTCACTACTATGCACTACTAATATCAATTGCATCGCTGTCATTTTTATATGTGTCATTAGTTCAAAGTGCAAACAAAATTCTTGTTCTTTTTTTGTAGCTTTGATCATGTCAAACGTGCCAACAAAAGAGAATTGACGAGAAGTTCTAATTATTGGGTGTATGCATTAGTTTTAAAGAATTTCCACTGCAGATGGCGTAACTTGTACTATAACGCATCGGGCCATACTGTAACTATATTCACGTGAAAGCCACATCATTTGACATTAGTTTTCAGTAGGTGTTATTTTACCAAAGCGTAAACATAATAATTTTTTTCACTTATAATCATGTCAAAATACGTGCCGAAAAAACAGCATTTGCGGGAAGTTTTACTTTTCTTCTATAGTTCGAAGAAAACTGCTGCTGAAAGTCATCGTTTGCTTTTGGAAACTTATGGTAGCTCTTATGCTCCATCGTCTAGTACATGTGAGTACTGGTTTCGACGCTTCCGAATTGGAAATTTTGACGTGGAAGACAAAGAACGTTCTGGTCAGCCGAAGAAGTTCGAAGATGAAGAATTGAAGGAATTACTGGATCAAGATTCGAGCCAAACGCAACAAGAACTTGCGAACGCATTGAATGTCACACAAGAAACAGTTTCGAAACGTTTACATGCCATGGGAATGATTCGGAAACAAGGACATTGGGTGCCGAACGACAAAGAAAACAAGAAGTAACCTACCGGCTTTTTTTCCCTCTTGAGTCATATCTGTAAACTAATCGTTTTCTACTGAAATATAAAATACTCACTGAATTGCATGTTTTTTTTACTTTATTTCAAAAATTGTTGTGTTTTTTTTTTTAAATAAAAAGATCCTCCTCTACGTGAGTCTCATTTATACATTATTCCGCACTACTTGGCCAATAATTAAAAAAAAAGAAAAATAAACAAATAAAAATATATATTCTACAAACAAAATATGATTTGTTTAAATATTTGTAAAAGAAAAGTTAACAAAGGAAAAAAATTGTAAAAAAGAAAGATAAAATTCACATGTTTACTGTTGTGAGCGAGTAGAAAAAAATATCCATGGATATTTAGCTTCCATCTGAGCTGTTGCTGTTTCCATTATCCAAATCCAGGTCGGGTATGCGTAGCAATTGATGAGTGCTGCGTTTATTTGTGCCACTGTTCCGTCGCGTCCGTGTCACCGCACTATCTCTATGACAAATGGTGCTTATTGGTAAAATATTCAATAAGTCTTTCAAATCAAAGATAGTAAAATCGGGTTTAATTTGTGAGTTGGGGTTTGTTGTATCACGATTCAATGGCATCCAAACCGAGCAACCTATTCTCGCTACATTTGCTCCCTGTATGTTTTGTGGGATATTCAGTTATAAGGAAATGGCAATTTGTTAGCAAAAACGATTTTTTTCTTTTCAAACAAAAAAAAAGATACTAAAAAAGAGACAGGGGGATTGGTTTCTTTTTTTGTTGGTGTTGTTTTCATTTAAATTTACTTTTTTTCTTTTGGAAATTCTCAATATTATTCGTTTAAAAAAAATTCTGAGACGATCGAGTCCGCATTGAGTTGCAATGCTTCGTGATCGAATTTGATTTTTTTTTTTTGGTTTCGAGATAATATAGCACATATTTTAAATACCGAAAAAAAAGATTTTTCAAACAATTCGATATCGGTTCAATAATTTTGAGTGAGTTTGAGATTTCAAGTTTAAAAGTTTGAGACAAAAAAAAGCTCAATAATAATAATGAAAATAAATTAATAGAAACTGAGAAAAGAAAAAGAGACTGGTAACTGTTTCTTTTGTTGCTATTAAGACCAGAGAAAAAAAAATTGTTGCAATTGTAATAGAAGATAGAAAGCATTGTTTTAAAATAAATTGTTCTTTTTTCTTCCAGTTTTTCAATTTTCAAAAAAAAAATCAACATCGATTGATTGAAGTTAAATCGTAAAAGAAAGAAAAACTTGGAAAAATAACAAAAATGAAAAAAAAAAGTTTTAAATCTAAACCAAATTTTATAAGAGAATTAACGTATTTTTACCCATAAAATGGATCCAGATTAAGTTTCCAACAATTTTTGCTGGCGCGAGGGATTATTTCTATTTTATATGTATGCATATGTTTTTTTCAGTTCTTCTTTTGCTTTTTTTTACTTATTTTGAAATGCACTTTTTTTGTAACTTGCACTGTACTGTTTTTTTCGTGTTTTTCTTTTCAATTGTGTGAACATTTCATTTGGCTTTATTTTTTATGTGTTCATTTTCAAAATCAAATACCTACCTGTAAATCTACACGTTTAACCTACCTGAATGTCTGTTTCTAATTTATCGCCGATCATAACACATTGGCTGGGCTGAACGCCCATGTGATTGCATGCCGCATAGAAAATTTCTGCCATGGGTTTTTCCCATGGTAAATCGCCGGACACTAAAATGCAGTCGAATAAGTTAGTTAAGTGTAAGCGATTAATCTTTTCCCATTGGGCATTTGATGGGCCATTCGTTATGATCGCCAAGTGGTAGCAGCTGCGCAATGATTGCAATAGCCCAATTGTATCGGGTTTTAATTCAAGGTACTTGTAACGCAATTCCAACCATTTCTGATAAATATCTTGCGTGAGATAATTGTATTTGTGTGACAATGCCTGGCTCCATAAATGCTGCCTCCACACGTCCAACGATACATCGGTGTTGTCCGGACATTGGCGAAAATTGTGCAAATACGATGATGTTATCTCAGTGGCTGTTTCATTCGGTACATTATATTTGGTTTGCAATATGCTGGACAGCTATTCAATTTGAAGAAAAGGGAGAGAGAGAGATGGAGAGAGGGAAAACGAAAAGGACATCAATATAAATTTATTCTGGAACAAGTAGAATTTATATCACAGACACAATATTAAATTTCCTTTAGAAAGGAATAAATTGTTTTCGAATGGGATTAAATTGCTTGTTGTGTCTCTCGTGAAAGGGATGAACGAGACATCAACATAATTTGTTTACTGAATCCACTAAGAGCATTGGAAAATCGTCTTGCCACTTTAATCTTCCGTATCCTACATTTTATTATTTATTATCTCATTTTCAAAAATGTGCTAGATCACACATGAAATTGTGTACGTAAAGCTCAAGGTTTCGAAGCGACGACGACGACAACTTGGAAATTCTCCAACGAATAAATTCAGTTCACACTGAATCGCCACCATATTAAACGCGAGCGACTGTAATCGAAATAGCCAAAAAGCGGTGCCAGTTCTTCATTAAGGCGTTCCGTTTCTCTTGCTCTCTATCTATCTGAGTGCTCCGTGAGCGAGATGTATTTTTAGATGTTGTGTATTAAATTGTAAAATGAAACACATTCGAATACGAAAATTAAGAATCGTGTATTTTTAGAAAGAAGGCTCATGATTTGAGTGGCTCATGATTTGAACGTCGTCACGTTCAACGAATGAGCTCACAAACATTTTTCGTCGTCTTTGTTGAAAGATTATGATAGAGTTCGCGTCACCCCATAATGGCCAGTACGACAATATTTACAAATTTCCAAAAGCCTGTGTACAGGCATGTGTTTGTCTCAGTCATAACAAAATAGGTCACATCGCCATAAATAAACAGTGCCTAGAAATGAGAGAATGGCGAATAAAACACAAATTGAATTTCGATGATTTTCTCCAATATTTTTTGGCATTTTCTTTTATTTTATTCATTTTTTTGTGTATTTTCTTTTTAAATTATAAAAAAAAACAACTATTAGGCTTGAATTCAATAAAAAAAACACGAAATCACTATAAAATAATTTTGTTTTTTTCTCATTTGAAAATTGACTGATTTATGTTCTTTTGACAGATTTATTTGGATTTATCTTAAATTAAATGATTCTTTGTATGTTTGTTGGTTGAGAAAAGAAAAACAAAATGATGAGGTACAAGATGAAATTGTGGGCAACCGGTGTGGTTGGAACTTTATTCGCCAAACAATTTCTTGCCCAATTCCATCAAGCGATGATTTCGGCAAACACGCAATGCATCGGCCTTCTTCAGCACTTGTACGACCGTCTTGTTTGCCTCGACCAGCTGGCACAAAAAGTCTTCGTAGGCTGATTTCACATTGGCTGGCAATGTGCCAATTTTAACTTTTTTCAATGTTTCGATAATTCCTTCGGCCCATCCACTTTCAATGGCAAAGTCCGAGATCCATGGGATCACCGACAAAATACCGCTCATCGTTTGCATGCCCAAGAACCAGAGTTCGGTAATTTCGGACCAATGCTCTTTGTATGCCATTGACAGAACCAATGCGGTTGGATCGTTGGATTCGTCAACAATGTATGCATCCCAAAGGAAACGGATCGTCGCTTGAATATAACGACAAATTGTGAAATCGTTCTTTTTCACCCGTTTCGCCTGTTGTTTCAACAGCAGCAAACCCAAAATGGCCAAATGGCCATGCATCACCAAATTGTCGGGAACATCTTTCAGAAGTGGTAAATTTTCGAATATAAACTCTTGCAGTTTATGGAAAGTTTCGCTGTCTTCAACGATTTTCGGCTCAAGCACCGCTAAATTCATGAGAATATTACATAGGCTAACGATGGCTGCGCGCGCATCTTTCATATCTTCCAATTGTTCGGCCGTTGGAATTGGATCCGGTTCGTTCATACGCTTCAAACGTTCGGCACGCGGAATTGGTGGGCGTTTGTAGTGTGCAATCGAAAAGTAGAACTGCAACGATTCATAAAATACTTCGTCTTGTTTCTGTTGGAATAGAATTTTACGTGCTTTTTCTTCGACGGCCAAATGGCAAAGAGCGGGCATCATTACGCGAAGCACATCGGCTGGACGTTCACCGCTTTGTTTTTCTTCACGGTATTTCTTCACTTCGTAGAATGTACTGTTTGCCAATTTCAATATGAATGGCAACAATGAATAGATGGCCGGTCGCATTGCGGATGTTTCCAGTGCCAACCAGGCGGACAGTACACGTACCATGGCACAGGCAAATGCGCGATCTTTTCCAGCCAATGAATCCTTGGTCTTGTCTTTATCCAATTTACTGAGTACGGATAAAACGGCATTAAATGCACCCTTCAACCCAGTGTAGACCGATTGCTTTTCCTTTTGATCCAAATCCAGCTGATCGGTTGCCATATAGTTGACGGATATTTCCAAGATGATGAAGCAAGCAGTGATGAGATCCGCTTGAGCCGTTGCCGCTTTGAAACTTTTCTCGTCCATTTGCATGCGCACCTCAATGGCAGCCAATTGAAGTAACAGCAAGAAGAATTTCTTTGGATCGTCAACATCGTTCAATGTCCATTCAACACCCAATACATCAATGGCTTGACCGGCCAATTTTAACGCTGGTTCACGTTGATTTTTGCCCAATTTCGATTTCAAAATATCGCTCAATCCTTTGAACAAACTCTCTGGCCAAATTTCTTCCGACAAATTTTTCAGCACAATTTCACGGCGACAGTTTAACAGGAGCGATGCTAAAATATTGCACAAATCGAATTTACGTTCGGTGTGATCGGTTTCGAAATCCAAGCCAATTCGTTGAATCAATGCATTGAATGGTTTCGGGTCCTCGGGCCATACGGCCGGCCCGAATTTATTCGCCAACGTAACAATTAAATTGAGAGCCTCGTCCGTTTGGAAACTTTGATTGGAGTAAACGGCCGAGAATGTGGCAATAGCACCGACATCAATCAAAGCTTTTTGCCCTTGTTCATTGCTAGCGATACATTGCAAGCAGCTGTATGCTTCACTCACAAGTATCAAACTTTCGTCATTCTCTTCGTCATCGGCCGATTTAATAATCTCCAAAAATAGTGGGATATTGGCCAATGTGTCTTTGTGCGTGGCAATTTCTTCCTCTTGTAAAAATGCCGATAAAATGGTGAGCGCTACACTTTTGTACACGGCCGGTGGACAGTCGTCCGGAACTTTGTCACTTTTCAATAATTTCTTCAAGAATGGATAGCCGATTGCCTCGAACAGCGCCTTTTTTGATGCACTGTTACAATCCTTTCCCTTCACCAATTTCGTCACCATGAACAATGCGGCAAACTTTTGCGTATCATCTTTGGCATCCTTTAGGCATTCAATGCATTTTTTAACCGTGTCCGAAACTCCTTCTTTCGACATTTTTCCCTCTCTTTTTATAAATTTCTCTCTTTCCCTGATTCTAATTGGCTTTTTCTCTTTTTTTGGTTTGGATTTTGTTTTTCTCAACTAAATTCACGCAAAAAATCGTCGAATTCTCTCACAATTCACCAATGAATTCTAAAATAAAAGGATCAAATAAACAAAAACAAAAAAAATAGTTGTGTTGTGTTGATTTGGCGAATTTGATCGTTCTAATTGAAGATCGAGTGTATAGATGCGATTGATTGCTGATGTGGTGAGTGTACACAAAATATCGTTCACTCAACTATTTTCATTGAGTATAAAATCGTGACTAAAATATCTCAACTGTGAACTTCCGAAGCGAAAGTAGCAGGCAGCAGCAGTAGCAGTAGACACACTGAAATTTTTCTATTTCGATCCCAATCCGAGATGGAATATTTACGTCGAACTTTGCTATTGCCTTCGCGTGCCGTATCTACATGATACATACATTTTCATTTCGTTTTTTTCGTTTCAACGCGAATTTTTCTTCCTATTTCGTTCTCCTCTCTCATACACTCAATCTAAGCTGTCTTAATTGAGTTTTGTTTCTTTTTTCTTCTGTTTTTTGTTCATGTGTCGGCTTTCTTCTTTCAAGAAGAAAATTTTCTCGCGAAGCTCGAACGCGTTCTAGAGAACGGGAGACTGCTTGCAATAAACATTTTAAAATTAGACATTCACTCGTGTGAATCTAAATCTGGATATGATGATTTCAGTGTGAAACTCTGCTGAACTGCTCTTTCACTTGGCTCCAGTGGCATAGCCGAAACGATATTCTATGCATGCTCACACAACACACAGGCCATATGAAGAAAAAAACAACAACAACAACACATACACTCGTTCGCAATCAAATTTAGAATTGTTACCCTCAAAATCGGTTTCAAATTCATCGGATTTAGAATTTGTTTGTTTCGTCGTTCGTGAATGAAAACTCAAAATAAAAACAAAAACAATCTTCGTTTGACCGTCGATCGTCTACATAATTTCACGTTGTTTTGTGTTCAAACGTTTCGCTCGGGTTTGACAGAACATTTTCTGAGGTTATGTATTCATTCCATTGAAGTTTTTTTTTCTTCCTCCAATACTATTCATCTGCCAAAAGTACACGAGCACACGCGATGAGTAGAAAAGATTCAATGCTTTGAATGTCAAGGTCAATAGTGTCAACAATAGAATATTATTGATCGTTCGGAAAATTTTCAGTGATTTTTTCGTTCACCAATCAATTCCAATGCATTTCAGATTTGGACGCACATCTTATTTCTCATCGTTTTTTTTCATTTCACCCAAACAATTTGTATGCACATAAGAAGCACAGCGCTTTTTATAGAAGTGAGCTGTGTCACTAAGTTTTTTTTTAAATTAAACCCCGTACTTAGTCATGATTTTGTGATAGAACAAAACATAAACTTGACAACATTTCATTGAAACGACGTAATATATCCGCCACGGTACAACCAAGGCCATGCGGAAGTCGAGAATAAACAATATCTTGCAAATGCAAATTTACACACAGAAACACTCACCACTCATGTGACACTTTGTTGATATTAAATTCTCTCACGATACTTAAACAAAGGAAATAAAATGAATGGATTTTTTGTTTTGGGATTTTTCCCTCTCACCTTATTGCAGGTCTTCAAATCAGCCTTTCGAGTTGCAATTAGTGTATTGTCCAAATCGAAAATTATTGTAGAAAAACGTTTTGTAAATTGACTTAAAACATTTGCGACGGTATTCTTTTCCATAATTTGTTTCTTCTTCTCAATTTGATTTGTTTTTCGCGAATGATATACAATAGATTTAATATTTGTGTGTTGATTTTTTTTGTTTTTGGCTCACAATAGAAAGATTCGTTGTTCACGTCAATAGAAGGAACAACCAAATTTTGTACGAAAAAAAAGATATATATAATCAAACAAAAGAAATTATAATAATAAACAGTTATGCTTAAATAGGTACAATGTTGTCTGTTTGAGCGGTGTAGCGTAATTTATTAGTTTTATATATATATATATATATATCTCTGGGTTTCAGCAAATGGTTCATGTAAAGAGAGTGGTAATTTCTTTGTACTTTTTGTTAGACTGATTAAATGTGACGTTCGTGTGTGGAAACGTCAATAACGGTGCATGTAATTCAATACACATTGTTAATGTGTATATGTACTGAATGAATGATTTGTATGTATTTGTCACTACTGTATGTGTGAAATATGGAGGCGCTGCAAACGTTTCTCTGTCGTTCATGCAGCTACTCCACCTCCAAATGTTAACATACAACAAACGAATACTCTTTTAACTCCATACACGAAAAAAAAAACCAAAATTGAAAATACATTTCGAACATCTTTTGTCGGGAATTGGTTTGTTTGTTTTTAATGAGTGTTGCAAATAAAATTTAAACTATGTCGTATTTTTATGGTTTCCAAATTTTCAGCAAACCATCTTCGCTGTAGGTAGCCAATAAATTTTGATGCGGATGATGTGTTAAACCGATTACATCTTTCTCGTGCACCTATGAAAATTGGATTTATCCATTAAATGATGGCAAACGTTGTGTGTGTCTTTTAAATTAAATGTTTGGAATTGGATCCGGTTATTGGCTTATTCCAATGAATCGCATTTATTCAATGAAAAAAAAACTTACGTTAAGTGTGCGCTCCAATTTGCATGATGATACAGAAAAACAATACAACACCATATCTTCACCAGCACAATAAACTGCAATTAAAATTTGAAATTAATATGAATGAAAAAAATATATGATTGAATGACTTATTTTCGATATGAAATCATGACTCCAAACAAAATCATATGAAAAAGTCGGAACCATACCATAAGAAAGTATCAAATTGAAAGAAAAAAAATGTCTTACTGAATTCGCCTCTTGGTGATAATGTTGCACAGATGAATGCGCCGCCTTCGCGTTTTCCCGATGAAAATGATTTGACAATTTGGCCTTGCATATTCATGATGACCACCGTATTGGATCGATTGCATACGATGAAATGTTCGGGATTCTTTGGCAATAGCAACACCGTATTAACTGCCAACTCATTTCCGAGCAGTTTAAATGTGGCCGTACATTCCGTGGTTTTAACTGACCAGACCTTTACGGTACCATCTGACGAACCACTTATGATGCTATGACCATCGACCGTGAAACACACTTCGTTCACGAATGATGTGTGTCCTTTGAACTCTTTTAACATTTTACCGGATTTAAGGCCGTGCAAGCGAATTGTATGATCGAATGAGGCCGATAGGACTTGGCCGTTGTCACGGCTGAATTGTAATGCGGTCACTCCTTTTATATGCGCTTTATCGAAACGGCGCAAACATTGGCCGGTCAGAATGCGCCATACTTTGATTTGACCCTCTTGTGAACCGGTCGCCAACATTTCACTGTCTCTCGAAAATGTCATCGATAGCACGGCATGCTCCATCATCATGAAATTATCGGTTGCTTGATACTTAAGATCTTTTCGAATTTTGCCAGTCGTAAAATTCCACACCTCAATGAAACCATCGACGCTACCTACGTATTCAGAATGTAAAAAAAATGGAAAATGATGAATTTCATTCTATCGAAAGGATTGGATTGATAGTAGATTTTGGATGCGATCAACTTTAAAATCACCACCGGTCACAGCTGATTACTAAGCTGGCAAGGGCACGCTCGTTAAATAGTTACAAAAAAGAAACTATGCCTGACGATTATATTTCGACCAACCTGTAACCAAGTATTGTCCATCGGGCGAGAAGAGAGCACATTCGGTGTGTGATTTCTGTCCGAATTTGATTTGTCTAGCCAATTGTGTGGGGTACATTTCTTCTTCTTGATCTTTAATGGCCGCTTTGCCACGGAACAAATCGATTTGTGTGCCGGGTGGCAAAAGTCCTTGGTGCTGTTGCCATTTCAATGCTTGTCCAAGCAGTGCTAGTAAACGAGATGATGGCACCACTGACACTTCACCGCTTAACTCTTGTGCGATAGCTGCACGACGTTTTTCTTTGCTGCTACCATTTGGGTAGGCTTCACGTGGATCAAAATAGGCTCGCTGCAACATATTTTCCATATGAATATATCGTTCAGCTTCATGTTGTTTTAGCATAATCATTGGATCAGTTTGTCGCAACAATGATCGTGCCGCTCCCAGTTCACGCAGTTCAATGAGCTCCAACACAATTTGCTCATACAGATTGATCAATTTCTTATCGGGCAATTTAAGCGATTGAATTGTTTTCAGCACCGTATCCCAGTGTCCATTGTGGATATCAGATATAAAACCTTCAACACTGTCAACTGTGTTTAGTGAAACGCCCGTCTCTTCCTGCCAAGAAAAAACCAATACATTTTATTAGTTAGCTGAACGCCGTCACTTTGACACAAGACTCGAATGAAAAATCATTCACGATTTCTGAACAATTCGGGCCAATGAAAATTCTCAACGAAATTACCTGTAATGTTTGAAGAGTTTTGTTCAAATTGGACTCCTTCAAATATTGTTGTATCAATCGAACAACACTGCAAATAAATTAAAATAGGTTAGAGTTTGCGTTAAGGTATTGCACCTGAGAATGAACAAAACCTACTCGGCTGATTCGATTTCGATAGACATGACGGCGGATGTGGTTTTAATTCAAGTCCTGAATTATTGTCGTATTGAATTATGTGTTTAAAAAAGGGAAATATTCTCCGGAAAAACCAGATTGTTATGTTCTGCTGTTCTTGTCGTCGTTTTGTTTACCACACATATAGTTTGATTCCACCGTAATATGTCAAGCGGTTCGACTGTGAACGGCATCTTGAGGTTAACAAATGAACGATAGTCGGTAACACAGTTGATGTAAAGGAAAATCAATTCGCTATCTTATCGCATAATTGTAAACACAATTATAACTTATAGCACTACAATTTTGTTACATTATTGCTGAATGATATATCTAGATGTGATGCTGAGCTTACACGCTTAGATTTAGTTGTGTGTATTCTGTGGTTCGTGCTATAGCACATGTACTGAATGAAAACAGAACTAAGGAAATGTTGGGAACAATTAAAACAATCGCTATAATCGGTGCCGGTCCAAGTGGTTTGTGTTGTGTGAAAAATGCACTAGAGTATGGCTTTGAGGTAACGGTTTATGAACAAAATTCACAAGTCGGCGGTTTATGGATTTACACCGATCAAATTGGAAACTATGAATATGGGCTTCCCATTCATAGCAGCATGTATAAAGGAGTTGTGTAAGTTAAATGGACATAATAATGATTTAACTGACAATAATTATTTTGGCTTTCATTCAGCACAAATATTCCCGTCGAATCAATGGGATTTTTCAACTATCCATTTCCAAAGAAAGAAAAATCATTTGTTTCACACGAAGAGGTGCTTAAATTTTATCAATCGTATGCTAATCAATACAATTTAAATCGTGTCATCAAATTCCGATGTCATGTGGTCAACGTAAAACCGACACCAAATAACCGTTGGGAAGTGAGTCTCTTTGTTTTGAATTTTTTTTTTAATTGTTGAATGAAATATTTCTCATTTCCTTGTTAGAAGATTTTTTTTCTTTGGAAATTAATCACTTGTGTTCATAAATCAACGCATTATTAAATAGCATATTCATATTTATTTCTTGTTTCGTTGTTAAAATATAAATCATGAGGTTTTAAGTAGAGATCTACGTCGAAATACTTACGAAATCCGAGTGTTTGATGCAATTTTTGTGTGCAATGGCCACTATAATGCACCGTACATTCCGAACTTTGAAGGAATCGATGAATTTCGCGGTAATAAAGCACATAGTCATGATTATCGACGACCCGAAAAATACCAGGATGAAACAGTTTTGATAATTGGCTGTGGACCATCGGGACGGGATATTCTACACGAAGTCGCACCCAAAGCGAAGAAAGTGTTTTTCAGTCATCATCGCAATTTGGCTGGTTATAATATGCCATCAAATGTTACACAGGCAGGAGATGTCAAATGTTTCAAAGAGAATTCCGTTCAATTTGAAGATGATGCCGAGGAACAAATATCTTGCATCCTTTTTTGCACAGGTGAATGGAATTGGTTTTTGTTTCTACAAATGTGAACATATTTGCTGATTTATTAAGAGTATTCATTTTTCACATTTACCATTGACTTGTGGAAATTCTGGATAATTTGGTAACACCAGAGGTCGCACCGGGACTTTTTCGGGCAAAAATTTTTTTTTTTCCCAGAATTTGATGAAACTTTGGATCTATATGTTTCAGGCCAAAAGGAACGAAAAAAACAATTCGGGACTCGATTTCGGGCCGACCGAGCCCGAATTTTTTTTTTGTTCCTTTTGGTCTGAAACATATACAGTCATGGACAAAATTGAGCGTACGCCTATAAATTTGTGTTTTATTTTTTCCAGTAACTTTTCATCTCAAATGTAATATATCAATGGGAAGTACATGAAAAATGAATAACATTGGCAATTTTGAACATCAAAATTGGCCGGCCAATAGGCGGCTTATGGCCCTCGGTAAAAACGGCCAAAAATTCAAGCCGTTCCCCCAGCCGTTCGATTTAAAAAGTTTAAATGCAGTTTCGAAGGCCTTCAGGAGCAGATACTTTTAAACGCTGAAAACTTTCTGATTGGTTTCAATTTGGCCAAGTTATGGCCGTTGGAAAAATGGCCGATTTTTTTCGAAAAATTAAACCAAGCGTTTGATCGCGAAATGTCATATGTCGTTGGAAAGCCCATTTAATGAAGATAATTTTAATAGTATAAAACATAGAAATCGGTTACAATTTAACCAAGTTATAGGCGTACGAAAATTTTCGTCAAAATTTTTTTGGGTTTTCCAACGGCCATAACTTGCCCAAATTGAAGCCGATCCGAAAGTTTTCAGCGTTTAAAAGTATCTGCTCCTGAAGGCCTTCAAAACTGCATTTAAACTTTTCAAATCGAACGGCTGGAGAAAAAGTTGAATTTTTGGCCATTTTTACCGAGAGCCATAAGCCGCCTATTGGCCGGCCAATTTAGATGTTCAAAATTGCCAATATTATTGATTTTTTATGTACTTCCCATTGATATATTACATTTGAGATGAAAAGTTACTGGAAAAAATAAAACACAAAATTTATAGGCGTACGCTCAATTTTGTCCATGACTGTAGATCCGAATTTTCATCAAATTCTGAGGAAAAAAAATTTTTGCCCGAGATAGTCCCGTTGCGACCTCTGTTTGGTATGAGTTCGTTTCAGGGTACACATTTTCGTTTCCATTTCTATCGGTGGACTGTGGTCTATCATTGCAAGACATGTTTCTGTCGTGGCCTTTGTATAAGCACTTAATCAACATAAATAAACCCACGATGGCCATTGTCGGATTGCAAATCTGCGCGTATTCTTATATGTACGACTTGCAGGTATGAAAATTGGGGAAAAATAGCTGTCGTTGAAATTTTAATTCATAGAATTTGATCGAAAAAGTTGAATTTAAATGAGTTAAAGTTTTTTAATTTTCTTCTTCAACCATTTTTCCTTCAAAATTTCCAGGCTCGGCTGTGTTTGAAATTTTGGAATGGTGATATTCAACTACCGACGAAGAAACAAATGTTAGAAGAATTTCGTATTGAAAAAGAGCGACGTGTCGAAAAGGGCAATGACATTCGGCAATCTCATTTGCTCGGTGTAGATCAAGTGAGTTTTGTTCGACCAATGGAATAATTATTTTTAAAATAATATTCAATGATACACATGAAACAGTCTAGCAAAAGCAAAGCGAATATTGGTTTACTTCGTATGATGATTACAAAATTATTATTTTAATTCATGAAAATGGCAAAATTATCATTAAAGTGCATTTCAATATATTAAGATTGATATATGGAATCAATGGGAGGATTATCTCAGATGACGCATTTGAATTGCAATCATTTATTGTGGCCTCATTTTATTCATTTCTTTTTTTCTTCTGTCTGATTTGATACGTAATACGATATTCACGCAATTTGTTCATAATTCCAGGCAAAATATTTGCAAGACTTGAGTAATATCGGCCAAATGATAAAAATACCAAATGTTTTGCTGAAGATTTACGATGATTGCAATGAATTGCGCACTCAATACCCAAACACATACCGGGAATATAACTACACAATTATAGATGATGAAACTTTTGAACGGAAACACATTCCAAGCTGAAATACCAACAAAGGCAAAGCGATTTTTTTATATGAATAGTCAAAAATTTAAATAAAAAAAAATCATTTTTTTATCAATTGATAACGTATTAATTCTTTAATTAAAAATAAGTTCATTTCTCCTACACAGACATAAACGGCAAACACCATTTATCTAGTAGCAGTGCTGGTAACTGAACAGATCTGCTTTATCGATTTGTGCGTGTGCCGCATTTGTGAAGTACGTGTGTGTGTTTGAATAAATGTCAAATGTTTGTCGTAAATACATCATGGCGGCTTGTTATTGAACGAAAAAAAAACTCAATTGAACGACATAAACGGATTTTTCTCGGATTCGAATTGATTGTTTGGAAATTATTTGATTGTTATAACGAAATCAAAAAGCCTGAGTAATGAGTGTGAGTGAAAACGATAACGATAAAACCATCACCAACATTCCAATCAAAGAAGGTAAGCGAAATTGTCTCCGTTATGGATCCCATTCATTCGTTTCGACTCCAAAATTGTAATTTAACACGATTCAATGTTTTTTTTTTTCTGTTGCAGAAATAAATGACAATTTGATCAGCATGGAGAAGCTGGATCCCGGTTCACCAGAGACATGGCCTGAAAAAAGTGAGTTTTTTTCCCATTCAATTTCATTCACACAAAAGAAATATTTCTTCATCTTTCGATTGACTTATGTAAATGAATGGATTTTCCTGCTTAATACCTACTAATACCTAATAGTAAAAACGAACAGAATCCCAATTAATTTTGAACTTTTTTATTGTACACTATCTTAAGTTCCAGGTGTGAATGAATTTGCCAAACTCAACTCAATCAGTAACCGAGAAGAAGTTCCATCTTGGACACAAGGCCTTTCGCAAGAAGACATAAATTCGATGCACCGTAAGATGAAAAAAAAAATTGGATTTCGTTTTTTGGCCATGTTAAATTTTTTCGATTCACTTTTACTGTTTTTTTCCTCCTTTTCTCTTGTTCTGTTCTGGCCAATCCATACAATTTCTTCAAACTACCAACTTATTCACAATCCGAATGTCTTATTCCAGAGTTGGGCGCCCTATCACAAGCCGGCCTGATTGCTGAAATCAAGAAGCTATACGATCAGGCGTACCAATTGGGTGTCGAAGAAGCGCGTGAAATGACCAGAGGCAAATATCTAAACATATTCTCACAAAATAACCGCAAAAAATGAGCACATGAACACACACCAGAGATAGAATCAATACCTGCCGTTCGGCCACCATTCGCATAGCTTTTAAGGTCTGACAATGTTGTAGTAGCGTGTTTGTTTAAGTATCGTACAAAAAAAAAATTTAATTCAACCTCTTTGACATAAGACCATTTTGAATGTAAATGAAGGAAAAAAAACAACAATAACAAAAAGAAAACAAAAAAAACCATATTTTTAATTTAGTAAATACATTTATTTTAATAAAGTTTATTTATACAAAAATCGATTTTATTATTCGTTTTTTACAATGAAATGTGTGTATATGTGTTACATTTTGATGAGCCTGATCTCGTACGCGCTGCCTGAGCGCAAAACGGCCAACGAAGCAACTGCAGGATAAGACTGAAGTGATGTGAATCTGATTCACAGATAAGGTCAATTTTTGCTCGATCGCAATTCGGGAAGTTGATTGGTTTCATTCATATTTTGACTGGACTTTTCTCAATGCATTGACAAAAACATCAATGCAAACAAATAAATTCCATAGAATCAACAACTCGGAAGTAGATAACGGAAGGCGAACAATTCTCTTCTTTTTTTTGTTCGTTGGAAGGTTAACCACACAGTGTGCTTTTTTCTGTTAATTTCTTTTTCTTTTGGCACGGTCTGTTAAAAACAAACAATAACATGCAGATTGGTTACTTTTCAACAACAACAAAAAAAACTCAAGACATGCAAATCTATAAGTATAACCATGCCAATTTGTTTTCTTTTTCTTTCTGTTTTCTATTCCACAAACACAGAGAGGAATTGCTCGAAAACGCATCAATGTGTTTGTATATAACTTTCCACACGGAAACATTATTAATTCAACTAAAATTAAGTTAAGTTTGTTTAAGGCATTTTTTTGTTTCTCGTAAAATTGTTTAGTATACGAAAGTGTCTGAAAAAGTTTTTTTTCTTCTTTTTTCGTCCAACAAAATTTTTGTGATAACAAATGACTCCAAATATTATTATTAGTAATGGAAAATAAAACGTGACTTTTCCATCTAAGAAAAAAAAAGAGTTGCTCATTAATAAACATGACAACGAACGGTTTACATAAGTATAGGCCCATTTTTTAATTGAAGTTCCTTTTTTTTGTTTTAGTTTGGCATAAATTCGTTAAAATAAAATTTCTATACTGAATATTCGTTGACATCATTCTCATTTTTTTAAGTATATGAAAAAAATTCGATTCTATAAATTATTTTCTATCCATTAAATTAATCATCTCTATTAAAATATACTCATTTTTTTCTTCATTCAAGGCAACAAGTGTGTGTAAGTTTTTTTTTTCTGTTTGTTTACGTCAATCGCTTATACAAAAACAAACGGAGAAGTTAAAAAAAAATTACGAAGAAAAAAAAAGATTGAAAAAAATATTATTTCGTGTTAAGTGTGTGTGTGTGTTTGTTTCTAGAATTTGAACTTATTCAAAATCATCGTTTAAAATATGCATATAAACAACAATTAATTTCTTCGTCCTCTCTGTTGGATGGTCGTGATGGCATCGCTTTAAACCCAGCCACCCGTCAATTTGTGGAACATTTCTTCGTTCAGCGTTTGATTTGATTCCTTTGAACGCATCGACATGAATATGTAGCCGCCAATGAATTCATGCACCACTTTGCAGTCGGACGACAGGCACGAGAACACAATCGATTCATCGTGGAACTGAATCATCATACATTTCACTTCCCAGTTTACATTCCACGCCTGCAAAAATTGAAGGAAGAGAAAGAAAAATCAACGGATTAGATGGGCTGAAAAGGATTTTACGCATATTTGGAGATTTGATCATTTTTCCCTGGCTATCGATTCAAATCGGATTCAAATTTTTTTCTTTTGAAATTTAAATCCGGTTTTTGGATTTTTTCAATCAAAAATGGAAACTTTGAATCCTGTTTAATTGTATTTTTTATGAATGATGATAAATGTCTCAAAAAAAAGTGACTGTTTAGCCAATTGTGTCGTTCTGAAAGTCTCGAAATCAGATAGTCAAAGTCAACGAATATCGAAGATCCATCTCATACCTTCATCGTGTTATATCTCCAAATTTTCAAGTGATCACCATTATTGGTGTCCATTCGCATGATGCGATTGTGTGCTACACCGAGCAGTTCCTCCTTTTTATGGCCATCAAATTTGATCACGAATAATGTGACACCATATTCGGGCAAACTTTGCCAGGCTTGAATAAATTTCAATTTTGCATCTACAAGTGATAAATCTTTGACATTTGAATGTGCTTCGAGGATGCGAGGTGTTGCCTGTATCAAAAAAAAAGGAAATTAGTCATTGTGCTATTCATCAAAAACGTTTTTTTTTTCATTTGGCTACACTTCGACTCACCTTTCCTTTAAGTTTTTTATAAACACGTGGTGACAAGAAATCACTTGCATCAATCGAATCCGGATTTATGCTGACTACTGGTCCATGAGCTGGTTTTTGCATGCTTAAAAATGATTTGATGCTTGCTACTTCCGAATCGTATGAACTGTCAGCCAATGAACGACCTTTTGACGCTAAGCGACACGCAGCCATCCATTTTGCATATTGATCCTCCTGAAATCATTAGTCATTCAAATACAATTATTTAGTTGATTCGCTGGGCAAAATGAAATAAAATTCAACATATAAATTTTTAAATGATAAAACGTCGTATGCATCATTTGTTTATAAAAAGACTTGGGTTGAATACATTGTTTCAAGATAAATCTCTCTTATTCATTCATTAGATTATGATTTATCATTTATGTTACATAAATGTAACTCAGTCAATGGAATCATCATTTATTTTTAAAACACAGCATGAATTACAAAGTGGATAATGTGTCGATAAACTCGGTTTGAATAGAAAATAAACTGTGTGTGTACACTGTACATCCTGATTCAACTTACATTATCGCATCGTATCCACATTTCATTGTTAGCACCATAACCATCCTCTGGCGGCACTTCCAATTTAATATTGAATTTTCCTTGGGCTAAGGTAACTTCGGGTGTAACTTCGCAACCGCGTAGATTTATGACAATTGTCGCCGATTGATTGCTTCGGAAATGATCCTTTGATTTGTACAAATACAAATATAAATCCTTGTAGGCGAACCAATAACGTTTGTATCCCTTAAGAGTGAATTTTTTCGGTCTAAAAATGTGATAAAATCCACACAATATTTTAGTAATTGAATTAAATGATACGTAAAGGCTTTCATTTTGGTTTTATAATCACTAAATTCCGAATTGAATGCCATTCAATGATGTTTACCTTAAGAATCTCAAATAATCGGTCAGCTCGGGAATATGTGTAATGTCGCTGGTTTTTGAATGACCATTGGAACCGCCCAATGTGAGCTGAAGTTCGCTAAGAGCTGCATCGATATCATCATCGGCCGCATTATCCAAACTAGACGTATCAATACCCGAATCTGGTTGTTGAATGTCATTTTGTAAATTGACTTGCAGCTACAAAAAAGAGAGAACGACAAGATATAAATGATTCATCCAAATCAATTCGTAATCATTCACACAATTGCCCGGACAAAATCATCGTACCTGTAGCGCGGCAAACATAAGCATTTCCTCTTCGGTGCAATCCATTTCTTCGTTAAGTAGTTGCCATTTAGCTTGTTCGTACAATTGATTGATACGAACTTGATCGTATTTCGGATTCAAATCAAAGAATGAGTAATACTTAAAGCGCAAACACAATGTGTCATATTCGCGAATGCCTTGCTCCATTATCGATAGTGACGAATCCAGCCAGGCGACATTCATACGGGCACGTTCAAGTAAAGACTTCGGTTTGACGAGACGTGATCGAATGTCGGGACTTGGCGCACGTGGACTAGCCGCTAGATTTTCATGTAAATCACTCAACGATGATGTTGAATCATTGAATGTGGTATAACCATTCGAACTGTGCTTCCATGTCTACGAAAATTAATCATTTGACAAATCATTAGGAATTTTTCTTTATTCTCAAGTCAAGGCATAGATTTAGTGTAAGTAAGACTTACGCCGGTTGGTGAACTGATTGGGTTCGTTTGACGCGGTGGTTGGTAAGTATTGTGCTGATATGGTGCACACGAAAATGGTCCGGTATGCGGTGAATCCAAGCTACCATTGCTGCTGGTAAGCAACGTCGAATGGGTTGGTATGAATGAATTTGTGTCGGGCGCCGGTGAAATATAATCGCGTCCATATTCATATTCATTCGCCTGAAACTTTGCCTTTGGGAACGATGAATAGTTCTTTTTTAAATGCTGTGGCTCCAACTGTTTGCAAAACGATAACTCTTCCGGATGCCGAATGCCCAGATCTTTGCATAGATTCACCACGGCTCTGAATGTGTTGGCTGAAAAGTCCACGCGACAATCGAGATTACGTAAATCGGGAAGCTGTAAACAGAATCCATTTTTTTCGTTAATATTTTTTTTTAGTCTTTGACCTCTCTGACGCCGTAAATTAATAATAGAAAAAAATTGTCTTCTAAATTTATGTTTTATGATCGAAATTTGTTATGTCAATCGGTACGACAAAGAAGATCACTTTAAAAATGTAATCGTTTCATCAAATTCTGGCGATCATAACGTGAATATTGAATCAAAATAGGCTAGAATGATTGGATGCTTACTTGAACTCTTAAGACTTTGTGCATTGGCGTAAAATGGAGTAGGGCATCTGCGTGCACGCCACACTGATCAAGTGTGGATCTTGTGCGTAGAAGCCATGTATTTTTCGATGGCCACCAAAGTGCATGATCCGACCAATCTTTTGGATTTTCTAAAAATAAAAACAGAAAAAAGCGTTTTCAATAAATAATCAAACAAAGCCGAAAAGACAATTTTTAAACACTTTTGAAATGCAATGCGTTCTGAATGCATTCGAATGCATTTCCGTTGAGAAAGAAAAAAACTCACTTTCGAGTTCTGTCTTAAACAGATTAGACGTTATCGAATAAATATTTGTTTGTATCTCTTTCTTTTTGGGTCAAACTAGAAAATATGATGCTTTTAACGGGATGAAATCAATTTCTATCCGGGAAAATACCTTTTGAAAATCGAAACAACTATATATCTGAACAACAGCAGCAGCAACAACAACAACAACAAAAACAACAACAGAAAAAGAAAAAAATCGAGTGCAAGCAAGTTGGACTGAAAGGGAAACACAAGAGACGCGAGCAAATGGTTTTTTAATGAGCGTGCAAGAATGCTGTCAGATGTACCGTTTGTCTACTTCTATTTTTAGTGAATACGATACATTGAGAAGTGAGCGAGCGAAGGCGCGCGCACGCGCGCGCATCCGTAATTGCAAGAAGCGGCGTAATTTCTTCTAAATTATGTCTTGCACATGATAGGTTTTCTGCAGTGTTCAATGTGTGTGTGTGTGTGTTTTTTCTTCTTTTAAATTTTCTTCATACGCAACGCATATTGCTCTGGGTTTTTTTTATTTAGAGCATCTTCATCAAAGTATCGTTTCACCTATTTACACGCAAACAACATAGGTTTTGTTTATAGGCGCAGGCAAACTCATCAAGTAAATCACACGACGGTGGCTTCATACAATTGGAACGAAAAAAGAAACAACAACAAGTACGAAACGATTGATATTATTTTTAGTCAATTTTAACGAGACTCAATTATTTCGACCGAAACAGTGATCGCATACGAGTGTACGCCCACTCTGACCATATGTACTTCGAATTCAAGTTTCGTTCCGAGTTTCTATATCACTTTCTTATCTATCAATATTTACGAATGCAATGATCTCGCCCAAGTGAAGAAAAACGTAATAGTTTTTTTTTCTTGTTCGTTTCTTGTTGTTTCAAAACGCATATTCGTTTTGTTTATCGAAATGAATTGTGCATTTGCATATTGCATTGCGCTCTCTTGTTGTCGCTAAGCGGTCGCATTTTGTATTCCGGTAGGAGCGAGAAATCACGAATAAGTGAATTGAATGAATGAATATCATAATAAAAAGAGAAGTTAATTACAAATGCATGTGTGGGTCTTCGGTACTGAATCTAAACAACTGTGCGCGAATTATCTTGGGTGTGCGCGCGAACATTGCACATGTTCCGAATGATGACTGTGTGTATGCATGTTTCATATTTTCATCGGAATGCATTTGTGAGAATGCCATAAATTCAAAATAAAAATTTTCAATCATGTGAACGATCATAAAACTAACGAGAAATAACCTAAATGGAAAATAAGACGGTAAACAATTGAAGTATGGGTGCACTCCATTTCAACCCTCATTCTATTGGAATGGGAGCGAGTGATCGACATCTCAGGAATCAACAATTCAATTTTCCTTGGAATTCCTTTAGCTATTTATATACGTGCTTTGCTACTGGGTGCGTTAAGGAATCAAGTGTTGAAATCTCAAAATTCCACAACGATCGCCGTTTGCCGCGCGCCGCCTTTGCCGCCATACAGCAACAGCAGCAGCAGCAGTAACAGAATCCAAGTAATTGGAGTGTGTTGTTTATTCAATCATTTCACTTGAATAGGCAAATACACTGGCCGCGAGCATAGATCATGGTAAGTCATTTCGCCAAACAGCACACCACACAGAGATCGCGATTGCTTCGTACACTCATTTGATCGACTCTCCGTGAGAGAAAGAGAGAACCCACACACAAACACACACTCTCTGTGTTTGAATGTGACGCGGTATCATAATTACAATGATTATTATTATTGTTGTTTCTTCTCTTTTTCTTTATACAAATTCTTCTTTTTCTTCCTCGGTCAATTTTATTTTTTTTCGTTCGCACAAAGATTGAAAAAGAAAATATCAGCAGAAAATGTAAAAATTAAGGCATAAACAATAATAGCTAATGTAAATGTTAATACCAAAGCAAGACGGCGTGTTGTATGTTGATTTTGCTACTACTACTGCTTCTTCTTCTTCTTCTTCTTCTTCTTCGTTTTCGTTCATCGTTTTCATAAATATATTTAATCGGGCGGTGTCTGTATATCTTAGATGTTATACGACCACATGCATGTATAGTGGCAGATAGAGAGAGAGAGAGAGAGAGAGAGAGAGGCGCGCAAAAGAGACGAATAAATGCACACGGCCCGAAGTAAACACAATGTTATTTTTTTTAATGTATTTTAAATGGGAATAAGCATAGTTGAAGCTCATGTCTGCTGTCTGCTGCGATGGTATATGAATGAGTAAATAAATACTTAATCAGTGTTGGGAATGCGTTAAATGCGGAGAGTATTTTGTGTGGAGGAACGAAGAGACATACACACAAAAAACAACAACAACAACATAACAGGCAAACCACTGAATGTGTGTAACAACAAATTCAAATCAATCGGAATTTGATCGCTTTAACTAAAAGAAAATCGCTCCATTTGTCACCGAGAAGTGTGCCGTATGCACATATATCAGTCATTCATTCATTCATTCAATATAATAACAGGCAGCAGCAGTAACAACAAAAAACAATTGTGAATGCCTCTTCTCTCGATCTCTCTGTCTCTCTATCTCAATTCCCCCTGCCCAACTGTGACATTGAGTTTTGTTGATTGCGTCAGAAATCACGAAAAAAAACAGACCTAAAAATATAATACACCACTGACTAGCAGCCGCACACAGAATTTGTGTGTATGTTTGTTAAAACGATCGAATCAAAGAAGAGAAGAAAAGAAAAAAAAATCGCATGTGTACGTATGAAGCTAGAGAGTGGAAGAAGTGAGAGAAAAGTTCTTATTGCGTTCATTAAAACACAAGGCACAAGCAGGCAGCCAGCCAGGCAGATTGTGTGTACGCGTAACGGAAACATATGCGTACAAATGTCGTAAAAAGAACTACAGAATAATTGATTTTGAGATTTTTCTCTGATTCAATTGATTTGAAATGTCTGGGTGTTTTCCGTCATGCCAGTTGCAAAAATGCAATCGACAACCATTTCACCGGATTGGCAGAGGCAAATTTTTAGCGATTTTGATCCATGTGCGTCGAGCGCCGAGCGCCGTACCACAGCACTAAATCACAATTTTTTCACACACACCGAAAAATCGGATTGAAATAATGTCAATGACAAACATTTGCTTGAGCGTGCGGTCTCTTCAACACCAACACTTTTTTTTTCGATGCTGCTATGGCTGCTGTTGTCGTATTTCTCAATATATCCATATTATTTTTTTTCACTTTTGGTCATTGAGCCGACGACAAAGAGAGAGATGCGGTGAATGAGAAATTCGTCGAAACGGTGAATAAGGAGGGAAAATTCTGATGGAATGAAGCAGCAGCAAATAAACAGAAAGCGCAATCGGATCTCGTCAACCGATATTGTCTACAATGGAATGTGTGCGCATTATGCTTATGCGTTGTGTGTTTGTTTGTTTTGCTTCTTTTTTTCTTTCTTTTTCATTTTAATTATGTGGATCACACAGAAATGCATGCAATTATTCCATTTGGATTCGCTCAAATCCCATTATGCGCCAGCATATGCAAAATATAATTCAGACATGAACGAATATCCTTTCGGAAGGCTCTACCCCCGCCCCCTCTCTCTCTCTCTTTCTATCGTACATTCACACTCACTCACACAATTTCCATAATCAACGAACGCACTAAAATGAACGATGATCAAACGAATTTTATGTATGTATAAATATATTTATACATATATATTTCAAGGCGAGCAGAATGATGTCGCCGTGACTTATATCTGAGCTCAAAAGTGTATATACATGCGTAATGTAGACCAGAGTAGAGATTAAAAAAAAAACCTAAGTGGAAATTACGTAAAAAGCGGATGATAAAAAAAGGTAAACAACAAACCTGGATCCACTAATTTCAGCATTAATCCACCAATGTGAAGATCACCACGAACGCGTAGTGTTTTGTCCACTTGCAGATCGGTGATAAAAATCCGCAAATTCCATGTATTGTCACCGACATGAATCATTTTGATCGAATTCTAATGAATTTCTCTGAGTAATCCACAAACTATTCGATAGAGGAGAAAGATTGGTTGCTTTTTTTGTCAATACCGTAATCAGTTCCGTATTTATTACTATATGGGCACACACAATTTCAGGCACTTGGTTGCGTTGGACATACACACATAAAAATGACTCTATTTTTCTTTCGATTTTTTTTTTGCTTCGTCGCAATTAAACAGGCCGTAAACTCATTTCAATGAATAATATTCTTAAATTCATAATATTTCAATTGAAATATTTATTCAACACATTTTTTTCACACATACACTACGTCTCGATTCAATATACATATATTTAAAAAAAATTCCTCTTCAATTTCGTCGTTGAAAAATCACACACACTGAATGATTGGACCCGAATGAGAGAGACAATTAACCGATGTTTGTAAAATCGAAGAAAAATCGTCGATTTTCTGCACACCAACACGTCGTTGTCCGAAAATTTCAATTGTAAACGCAGAAAATTTTCGACAAACCGAAAAAATCCAATCAATCACTAGTAATTTCGTTTCTTTTTGGGCAGGAAAAATAAATGCCCCGAGAACACGGTTAATGCTACTGATGAACTATTTTCACAGTAGATCTTTGGATTTGTTTCAGTGTAAATTGCTCATATATATTTTTTTTGTTTCTCTGTATTTTATGTCGAACGCCACACTATGCGATGGAATACGTACGCATGTTAGTATTTCTCTCTGAGTGTGTTAGTGTGTGTGTGTGTTTTTTTTTTGTGTATATCGCATGTTTGTGTGTCTGTGTGTTTTGTATTGGAATTGTATGTTGTGTGTAGGTCGAACCGAAATGAATGATGGTATGTCTGACTAAGGAAGCTCGTACTGAAAGCAGCCAGCTACTGATTATGAACGAAACGACATTTCTTCATTCGTGTGCCGTTTTATTGTGCTTTGTTGCTCATTGTATCTGTCTCTCTGCTCGTCTCTGTATGTAGTTGAGTAGTTGAGAATGTCCAAAAAGCCATACAACTATCGACATCTTGTGGAAATGGTTGGCGGTTTATTTATTTTTTTTTATGGATTTAGGTTTGTGTTTGGTGGTGTTGGTTCTCATTGCTCTTTATTTTTGGCTTCTCATTCGTCTATTTATGATTGAAATACAAGACAAAACAAAAATGTATGTTGTACATGTATGCACACACGGTGCTTGGTCGGTTTGTTCGGCCGTCAATAGAGAAACACCACAACGACTACGACAACGACGACGACAATGAAGACCACTACTATTTTTAGTATTTTCACTTTTCAAACGTATCTGTTGTGCCATTCGGCCCAGACCCCAGACTCTGTGTATGTGCAGTTTGTTAGTCGTCTGTACACGCATTTATGTATTGAGCCTTCAAACGAGACAAAACTTCCTTTTTATACACTCCGTGTATTTTCATTCACTTCGATACGATTCAATGCATTCTCTCCCTCTCTCTCTCTCTCTCTCTCTCTCTCTCTCTTTATCTCGCTCACTCGGCGTGTCTCTTGATGTTTGTCGACTCGAAGCTCTTTTGATGTGGTATTGGTACCGTGGTTTTCAAACAAGTATTTTGTTTGTTTTCTTCATCTTATGTACAACGAAAAAGATAGAGAGCGACAGAGAGGGAGCGCACACAATCCGCGATTCCCATTGCATTGGGTGATTAACGTATTGCAAGATATGGACCATAATTCACATAATTAGTTGTCTGCATTGGATTCTGCAGAATTTCGCCATGGATGATTACAATGAAGCAAACAGTCGGTTTATATTCGATCGTCGGTTACGACGATTTTATGCATTCCGATTGGTTGCATTTGTTTTACGGTTTTTCAATTAATTTATTTATTGATCTAGTACAGACTCTTTTACAATAATCGCTTATCTTTAATACAACACTTAATTCATTTGTATAAATATTTTCTATTAGTTTTTTTTTTAGTTTTTTTTTCGATTGTGATTAAAATGTTGATGACATTTTGCTATAAATACAAACCTATGTGTTTGTTCAATTGAATAATGAACCATTGAAACCGTTTGTGTAAAATGGACTATTGGCTGGTATTGTATTCTAAAAATATGGTTCATATTATTATTGGCAACAAGATAAAACAATCAACTAATTGAATGAAAGAAAAGCTAGAACCAAAACCAATATGTGCGCACAGTTTCATTTTAGATAGAATATTAAGGCCAATGACCCATTTTACACAAACGGTTCTGTTAACGTTTAGTTTGAATATTTTGACAATAAAAGTGCGTTTCAAACGAAGTAACTTCTACATTTCCGTTGCAACTTTATAATCGAAGCACACATCTTTTGTACATAGATTGTTTTTAACGGTAAAAAAAATTTAATCTCGAAAAACCGAAAGGAAAAAAAAACTCATATAAGCAACTCAACTACTGTAGCTCAATTTAATTTGCGATAATAACAAAATCACAGATAATAAATTAAAATCGACCAAAATGAACAGCTTGTTTGTTATCAGTTCACTGTTTATTTGAAGTTTTTAAGTTGAGCAAAGCGTTTGACAAAGTTCCATTGTCGCGGGCACAGTAAATACAAGAAAGTAATTTTCACAGTCCGGTTTCGGCTTTACAGCAATATAAGGTATGATATCTCGGCTGAATTCAATACAAATTCTAAACATATCCCTCAAAACGTCATTGAACTTTTAATGTTTAACTTTAATGTTCAACCGAACGAATGAACGAACTAACGATACCGATATTATAGTAAACAAAATATATATTAATTCGGTTTAGCCGATTATTTTGCTCGTGTTAAATTATCGTGATTTTTATATGTAAGTGTGTGTATGTGTATTTTTTGGCTGTTACTCGTCTTATTTTCAATCGGGAAGAAGAAAAAAACAAGAGAAAAAACAAATGTTGAATAATATCTAGACTTCTTTAAACTGATATATGCAAATATGCAAACGGTGCTACAATAGAATTTTTACCAAAAACAATTTCCAACAGACATACTATTTGTTCAATTGCCATGCAATTGTTGAGCAAATATTCATATTTATGGAGATTCAAACAAAAACAAAACCAAAAGCGTATAATAGTGTTTTGTTTGGAAATTACAAAGGTCTCCAAATGCAAAAAGATTCTAAACCATTTATATTTTTGTAACCATAACATATATAATTTTCAATTCTTCAAGTCATTCGTGTGAACAGGGCGTTCGTGTTTGGATGTCCATTTTGCGGACTATTCTTTTTCTTTCTGTTCGAAATTCAGTAAACTTATCTTCATTGGAGTATATCTTAAAAGGTTTTGTTCGTGATTAGTGTATTACATTATTGACCCATTATTTCATTTTTTCATTTCGTTTTTCAAATTAAAGTGATAAGAGGGAGTTTTTGCTTTTATTCCCATTGAAATTTGCACTCTTATCACAAAATTCGATCTACAAATTTTTTTATTTTCTCACTTGTTGTTGTTGTTGTTTTTTTTCTATACAATTTATAAGTTGCCGGTCATACAAACAAAGAGTTACAGTTGAATTTTTTGTTTTGTTTTCGGAATTCAAACGAAAGAGCGTAGCTGGATTTTGTTATATATAGATAGATGCTTAAAAATATAAATATTTGTTTCGAGAGATAAAGCTCTCACTTCTGGAGAAATTGTTGTTTCAAGAGCCAATTTCAACATTGTTTCTTTTTTTCTTCTTTCGTTTGTAGTTTATCAAAAAGTGACTTACATTGTAACCCTGATACTCGAATCAATTGAATGAGATATAGAGAAGAATTCAACGATTGAAACGAAATGCGATTGCAAACAAAGTTGTTGATTGTGGCCACGCTGTGCGTAGTACAAACAACAACCCATTCGAATTCAGTGGTGAGTGCAATTGACTAACTTTTTTCTTCATCGCTTTTGATAACATAATGGCTATGTTATAGAGTAATCTCAAATAATGCTGAATGATTTTGATTTCGAAATATTTCCATTTCACATGAAAGTTGGGTGGTAATCGTTTGAAGAATCGTATATTTAGCATCGACTACACGAACAATCAATTTTTGAAAGATGGTGAACCATTCCGATTTATTGCCGGTTCGTTTCATTACTTTCGAGCATTGCCACAAACTTGGCGGCAAAAATTGCGAACGATGAGGGCAGCGGGTTTGAATGCGGTGACAACGTATGTCGAATGGTCGCTGCATAATCCAAAGCCTGACATATTTATTTGGGAGGGAATTGGTGACATTGAACAATTTATTCGATTAGCTGCCGAAGAAGATTTGCTGGTTATTTTAAGACCCGGCCCATATATCTGCGCCGAAAGAGACATGGTATGGAATTGGTGTTTTAATTAGTTCAGAGAGAGAGAGAGAGAGAGAGAGAGAGAGAGAGAGAGAGAGAGAGA